CCAATTTTTCCGCAACTGTGGCATTTAAGTTTAGATTTTTCTTTGTCCTCGTTTTTCGATGTCGCCTTCTTTTTGTTCTTCCAATTTTTATTTGCGTAAGGCTTGATCGCCATAGCATTTTGCACAAGAACGTTGTCCTTTTTTCGGGCGTCGCTCTCTTCAATTATTTTAATTCGTAGTGCTTCCGGTGTAGGTAATTCATCGCGCGACTCGATGGCACATCGGAAGTTTTCATATTGCGACGGTAGACTGTATAATAATAAAATCGCGAGCAGATCGGGATTTATGATCACTTCCATTTCGGTCAGTTTATCCACTGCGTCGAAGAATGTACGAATATGTTCGCGCACGTCTTCCCTGTCCGCCATTTTTTGTAATGCGAGACGTTTCAGCAGCGTTGCTTTTCGGGCAGGACCCTTGGATTGATATATCCCTTCCAATCTCAGCCAAATTTCTCGAGATGATGTGCAGCCTTTGATCTGCTTCAATTCGCTCGGGTGAATTGAAAGGATGAGATCTGACATTGCCTTATTATCGTTGTCGTCCCATTCCGCACGAGCTTGGGCAGATATCCCATCGTCGCCGGCAACTAGTTCCGTTTTCACGTCGGTTCCATTCACATATTTCCATGCGTTGTTCTTCACCAATATTGCTTGCATCTGCATTTTCCAGGTGTCGTAATTGTCTTTATTGAGCGTTTCAATACGGCTCACAGCGGACACATTCATTGTGAATGTCGTTTTCTTTGATACACTTGATCACTGAGAATCTCACTCACTTTTTCACTTTAATACGAACACTTATTGCGAATCGTTGCCTGGGCCCATAACCTGTTGAGAAGGGATCGCGACGCAGGGAAGACTCGAACTGTTATTGTTTTTATTATGCATACAAAAGATGAACATCCCGGTGGTAGAAACGCCATCTGTGGTCAGCGATAGCGTATCGTTAAAACGATTTCTCAATAGTAATGCTATACGAAATGCTTTCTTTTTACAATATGGAATTTCTGTAAACGAATATGTATATGAACCGATCAGACACTACTCAATTCTTATATTATCACGTTCTACCAAAACTTCATAACTCTATCATTCTCTATTCGTATAGAAAATTGTTAGGGGTAGTCCTATGTAACATGAGGCCTTGATCATTATTTATTAGGGATGCCATAAAAAAATTTTCTTATTTTAATCTAATAAAGTCCCGAACATAATTTATTAGGGATGTCATAAGTAAGGCTTCCATATTTATATCTGATAAGACCTTCATCGGGATTTAATAGGAATGCATCAACTTTATAAATATACTTATTTATTAGGGCTAACTTATAAGGGTCTGAAAAGGACTTATTAGGGATGTCAAGCAGTAGAGTGTATATATATATATATATATATATAAAATATATATATATATATATGTTATATATGACAGATTTCCTAACCTATAAACAGTTGTTAACTTTAAGTTAAGTTAAATATCTCGTAGGGTACAGCGATATTTTTTTATGCCAGATTCTTTCATTTTTTATAAAAGC